GCTCCCCAGAATAGAAGGAGCCAGGACCATAAGGCCCTGAAAAAAAAAAAAAAAAAAAAGAACCGGACTGACGCTCCCCAGAATAGAAGGAGCCAGGACCATAAGGCCCTGTTTTAAAAAAAATAAAAATAAATAATAATAATAAATGAATATGGTCGCACCAGAGGTCCTTTGACTGAATCTGGCCGTAATTATGGAGAGATGCATCCAGAACATTCCTTAGTGCGAATATTATTCCCTAAGGTGTATTTGACAATTTGTACATCGCTATCTGTGTGGGGATGTGGAAACTATTTTCAGGGTTGCAGCGAAGGACCAAACAGACAAGTCACTAGCTGATGCAGTGATCAGTCGAAAAGCTTCTACTGGAAAGGAAGCAGCTTTACACAGACCTGATCTACTTTTTTTGAAGTTTTGTTTGAAGTTTCTTTTCCCCTTCCCCTCCCTCACCTCTTCATATTCTCTTCTTTTCTTCTCTCTCGCCTCAAGTCTTGCATTGAGATCCTGTTTTGCCTTGGCCTGGAAGGAAAAATACGAAATCCAACAAAGTCATCCATCAGTAACACAATATACACACGTTGCCAACTTGTTTTTTTTTTTTTTTTTTTTTTAATAAAATATATTGAACACATAGAATGCATCTGCATGAAAAAGAATGAAAGAATGTATCTGCACGAAGAAAACCGAAAGAACGTATCTGCACGGCATCTAGACAATACACACAGGTAATCGTCGGGATGCCCTGCAGATCATACTTGCAACCGCACGAGCCGCACATTTGTGCGGAGTTCCGTGCGGGGGGTGCCTGTGCGGAATCATGCAGGTTTTTTTTTTTATTATTATTATTTTATCTTTTCTGAGGAGGGGGAATGGGGGGGCGTATGACAGGAAGATGGGGATATGGTGAGGAGAGGGGGATATGGAGAGGAGGAGGAGGATGTGGACAAGGCGGACGACGAGGATAGCGAGGATGACGAGGAGGAGTCGTCGAGATGGGGGAGGAGAAGAGATGGACGGAGGGAAAAGAGGAAGGGCAGGAGGAGAAGGGAGGAGGAGACATGGAGGATGAGGACGGGGAGGAGGAGCAAGGTGAGGCAGTAGTCCTGTAAATTTTTTTTTCATCTCGCTTATAATTTTGGCGGGGGGCCTCAAACGCACCGTTTCGACCCTGCCTTTTTTTTTTTTCTGAGGGGGATGACGGGTCGTTCCCCGCACACGTCGTGCGCCGGACGGGATCGGTTGGGCACGTGCGCCGCACGTAGGGAACCGCCCGCACGACGTGCGCTTGCAAGTATGCTGCAGATACATTCCTTTTGTCTTTTGTTTTTTTCCAAAACGGATGTATGAGTTAAACATGCAGATAATCTTTTTTTTTTTTTTTTTCTTAAACAGATTTGTTGAGTTCAACGTGCAGCTACATCCTTTTTTTTTGTGATAAACAGATTTGCAATGAACCCAGTCTGGCAGATACTCATCAGTCGTCCAATACCTGTAGAGTCAGTATCTGCAGCAAAGTCTTCCACAATCGTGAAGTGATATCTCAAATAGTATCTCATTACCATTAGACGAGGAGAGTGGAGGGGGATTAGACAGAGGAGAAGGTGGAAGAGGTGATCAAAGATCACACAAGAGTAATCCCATCAAAACCCCATTCCTTCTCCGGGCTTCTTCCCTCTCCACGTCAACAACCAGTATATGATAACAAGTATAATAATCCTGATCACACAGTAGTGCCACGTGGCACTGTTATCTTATAGCAGATTATAGTGAGGACGTCAACCTCAGGTGAGTATCCGAACCCAATCATCCACAGATCCCAATCTTCCTCCTTCTCGCAACCAGTCCCCTCATGTAGACAGCGTGGACAATGCCACGTCAGCAGTCAAGACAAGTGGCACGCGCCACATCAGCAATGTAGACTAGTGGCAGGAGCTGCATCAATGTAGACCAGAGCCAGTGCCACATTAACCAGAGGCAGCGCCACATCAGCATGCCATGTAGACCAAAGGCAGCGCCACATAGACCAAAGACAGCGCCACATCAGCATGCCATGTAGACCAGAGGCAACGCCACATCAGCATGCCATGTAGACCAGAGGCAACGCCACATCAGCATGCCACGTAGACCAAAGGCAGCGCCACATCAGCATGGCCTGGCGCACAGAAGAAGCGCCAGCATGCTGCCTCCACCTCGTGCCGTCGTCCGCAACGCCTGTGCACAGCCAGCATGGAGCCAGCGTCGCGCCAGCATGAAGCCATCGTTTAGTCAAAGTCGAGCCAGCGTCAAAGCAGCATAGCAAGACCGAATGCTTGACTCCCTCGAGGCCAGCCTTAAGTAACAATGGTCGAGGCTGTCTGCCCTCGGGTGCTTTTCCCACAGTCGTCCAGATTGTACAGTTGCAGACTTCTCCCTTGGACCTGATGCTGTCTGGGTACCTGCATACAAACAAGTGTGTGTACTTGACCAATGGCCTGGGCTTGGTACCTTTGGACTTTGACTGTTGGGGTCACGAGAGTTGACCAAAGTCAACTGTCACACGTCCAGGCCCTAAGTCTTTGTTTGGGGTCATTTTTGCCCCCGTTTCGGCCTGGGCTTAGGGCGGCCGAGTTGGCCCTCAGTATTTCCACGAGGCATATGGCATGGGTTATTGCACATTTATGAGTTCAACATGCATATATATGTAGGAAACTCCAACGAAACAGTTTGTCACAGCCTCTCGTTTGTTGTCCTCTTCTCCCTCTCTGCCTACGGTTTACCAGGCAGCTCTGTTTGACGATATATATATATATCGTCAAATAGAATATATATATATCGTCAAATAGAACTGCCCGGTAAACCGTAGGCAGAGAGGGAGTATATATGACGATATATATATATATATATATATATATATATATCGTCAAATAGAACTGCCCGGTAAACCGTAG